GATTTCACAGAGTTTTTGTGATCGGCAACGACCAAGTTGATATATTGACACTGTGATCGCAGAAGCAGCGACAACACAAATGTCCGGCTACAGAGCTGGCGATGACGACACGAGCTTGTGGCGGAGAGACGGCTCGAGTGCTGCGAAGCTGGCTTCGCATGCGGTGAGCAGCTGATCATGGCCGTGCACGAGCGTCCCGAGGCGCACACTCGTCTCATGGGCATCCGCTTCCTTTGATGTCCGCGCGAGCGCGTGCGCCACCAGTGCTGCAATGTACCCTTGGGCGATACATGGTTGGTGCTGGCAGAGCCGAGCTGCGAGCCATGGTGAGAGGTCTAGCAGCCTACGATGCGGACAACTCTATCCAATGCGTAAGCGGAAGGTGGCACCTACTGTACTGGGTGGGTCGTCACAAGCGATGCGACCGCGTCCACAACATGACAGTGCGAAGCAGTCGCCGTCGATGGCCACGGTAGCAGTAGCGCAGCAAAGACTATAATGTCCTAGTTGATCGCACCATTTTCTACCTAAATCGAATGACATTTTGTACCTTTTCGAGGCTGTAGACGTCGCTGGTCGACGAGGCGGTGTTGAAGAACGCCACCACGATCGCTTGGCACTCGTCACGAGACTTTGTCGTCGCGAGTAGCTGCTGCTGGAAGCTGTTGGCGAGCGCTGCGATCTGTAGCGTCCGACGCTGCAGCTGCCAGTGATCAAAGGCCGGATATCGAAGGGTTTGGTGGGCTACTAGAGACACACGTCATCCTTGATGCTGTGCGTCATTGGCGGTCGTACGAGTGACATGCAAAAATGGCAGCGCATCGCCGAGGACATGGGCGAGATCGTAGAGCGCGTCGGTTGTCGCTTGCTCTTCCAGCCAGTGGATGATGTCCTGCACATACAGGCTGTTATCTTAGCCGGGTAGGCAAGTACGTACGCTGGCGAGCGCATGGCTTGGGTCGTCCACACGCTGGTAGAGGTCGCAGAGTCCATGGAGCAGCTCCAGGCGGCTCGGGTGCGTCAGAAGAAATGGTGAGGTTACGACTGCAGTAAGCACGTCGCGCGGTGCTACATGGAGGTATACACTACGGATCACGATGCGAGCGGTGGGAGGCGCTACCGCTGCGAAGCTGCGCGGCTGTGGTTGAAGTTGGAGCCGGCTGCGCTTGCTGCTGCAGGTACAACGCCCATTCCCACGCACGGTGCAAGGCCACGCTGTTCCAGCTGTGCAACTTCCTCGACTGTGCATCGTCGAGGATGCGCTGGAACATGTCCAGGTGGCCAAGGACCGGCCCGCCCACCAACCTGCTGCCATCGGCGCTGCTGCCCATGTCTGTTATCCGGAACCTGTCGGGCGCAAGACGCATGCTGCGGTACCTGTCGGTTGTGAGTACGTGGGTGCGGTCGTATATCCGGATAATATACCATCAACCAATTTTTGACTATCGTTTATAAACACCATACTACGGGAACGAAGAAGATACAAAACTGAGCGAAAGCGACTTCGAGGATGCTCTGGGAAGCCTACGTCGTCGCCGCCGAGCTCGCGCTGAGCCTCGTGGGCTGCATCTGGGCCATTCGCGTAGCATCACCCGGAGTCGAGTACACGCAGCTGCGCCTCACGCCTCGGCCGCGATCGGGCCGGCTTCGATGCGCGTTCCATGCGGCTTGCCTCGCCTTCTTCATCAGCGTCCTCGTCGCCGAGCTCGTGAAGACGCATGGCCACGGCCTCGCCTTCTACACGTGCTGGAACTTTATCCTGCAGATCATCTACTGGGCGTGGGCCCTCCTTGATGCGCGTGGTGTGAGCCGCGGCCGGCGGGTGCTCCTCGACGTGGTATTTCCAGCGAGCCTCCTCGTCATGGCCGTCGTGTGGGCCATCTTGTACCCGCTCGCCAAGGCTGCACACGCGACTGAACAGCTTCTCAATTGGACGAGCTACGTGCAGCATGGCATCAACGTCCCTTTGCTTGGCCTCGAGTTTTACCTCGTCTGCGCCGACAGCATCCCGATGGCGATGGGTGGCCTCCCGCTTCTCGTGCTCTGGGGCACACTCTATGGTGTCGCTGCGTGGATCATCCACGAAGTCACGAGCTTTTGGCCGTACCCGTTCATGAAGGTCGAGTCGCCGTATGCGCCGCTGTGGTACTTCTTGGTGTGTGTCCTGCACATTGCCTTCTTTGGGGTCGCAAAAGGCCTGAGCTGGCTCGCGTGGCGACCGCTGCATTTGAAAGCCAGCCGCGTCGAGTCGCTGGATACGGATAGCAGCGCGACCGCCCGTCTTCTTGGTGACGACACGGTCCGTGTCTAAGGATGCCAAAGTGGGATCCACTGTTTGAATGCAGCGTATCGGATACTGGACGCACGCGTGGTCCTTCTACAGTACACGATCTTGTCGAGCTCGTCCATGCGTCTCGGTGGCCGTGTCGCAGGGACGTGTCTTTGAACAAGCACAAGTAAGATCCGAGCTGGACGCTGGCGCACGCACTTGCTTGGTCCAGAGCGACGGCTTTGGACGACTCGGTAAGCTTCTTCAACCAGCGCATTTGGTGGCGAGCACTGGCGTGCGCTTGCGGATGCAGTCCTTGCTGCGGCTACTCTGCATGTCTCGTGTTGGTCGGTGGTGGTTGTTGTCTTGAAGTTTACACTGGCTACCGCTTCAATCCTGCTGCACGGCAACCACCAGAGACGCTGTGCGCGTCTCTACCTCCGAGTTCTCGCATTGCGCAGGACTGGGTACACGAGATGTTAACTTACATTGATATAATATTAGGGTACAGAGATGGCTTTACGGGCGGTCGACGAGGTGCGTCGTGTGGTTGATCACGACCGCCGTGTACGTTCCCTTCACACGGTTGTAGTCGAGCACGTTGACACATGTATTGTCCTGCGGAATCGGTGGGTTCTCGACTGGGATGCTCAAGAGCTCGGCGAGAATGATCTTGTTGAAGCGGCCATGGCACACGAACGCAATGTGATCGTCGTCGCTGCCGGCCGCGAGCTCGTGCAGCATGGCAACACCGCGCTTCTTGACGTCGAGCGGGCACTCGCCCGATGGGAAGCGCGCGTTGGCGTCGAGGATACCACGGCGCCACTTGGCGTAGATCTCCTGGAGGAAGACTGCGTTTTGCGTACGGGGTGTGCCCTCGAGCGTGCCAAAGCTCATCTCTTCGAGGTCGACGAATGCGCCCGTCTTGGTCGTCGGGTGGGCGTGCTGGATGCAGGCGGCGGTCTCCTTGGCGCGGGCGAGGGCACTGCTGTACACGGCGTCCAACGGAATGTCCTTGAAGGACCGCGCGAGCTGCTGCGCCTGCTTGTGCCCGTTCTTGTTGAGGCGCATGTTGACACCGCGGCCTTGGAGGATACCGGCGACGTTGTAGTCGGTCTCGCCGTGGCGGCAGAGGTAGATGCGGGTGCAGCCCTCTTGGAGAGGCGGGAGGCATTGACTCAGGGTGCGCATGATGAGCTGGCGTGTGCGTGGGCCGGCAAAAGTCGAAATGACCTGCTGCTGCATGCTGATGTTCACCAAGCCTCTCTCGCACAGATGAAAAAGCCACCCAATCTGCACGGTTTCATGTGTTATAACATTCCCAGGAAGAGCGATGGCTAAATGCACACCACTTGAAGGCAACCCGTGCATGCAGGATGGAGAAGAAGCATCGACGCCTACGTGCATACCCTAGAAGGATGAAATGGCTGGTCTCAAGGCATAGCATGGTCTCTAGGGTGTGAGGTGCAATCCCAACCGAACTTCCATGAAGAAGCCACGCGAATCTCAAAACGCACAAGATTCCATCGAAGTCCTCGAACGCAACCACGATGGCTTGGGTCGCAGATTTAGCGTTTATGTGGTAACATAATGCAGGATCTATCCGGCGAATCTCTTGCTCCTTTGGGAATTGATGTCGATGGCAACATGGGATCGCGATCGGCGTATTCTTGTGGCTTCGTGGGCCCGATGGCATGCCAGGATTGGGTGTATTTAGACGCGAGACTGCAGTGGGCGTTGCGTCATTTTGATTGGCTACGTCGGCGATCTGCAAAGTTATAACACTCGTCCTGCGACACTCGGCCTCGCCAGCCCGCGCTCGAGACGCGTTGCCGATTGGTTGAAAAGCGTGCGAAATTCAGTATGTCAGCCATTATAGCCAATCATATCGCTGTGGCGCCATAAACAGGGCTCGCTGGATTTCGAGCTGCATGTTGATGGGAGCTCCGAAGGTCTCATTCTCTCTACCATCCGCCAAGCCAACCACCAGCGACGAGCAACGTTCTTCATCTAGCAAGCAGCAGCATGTTCATGCAGAGACGAACTTTGAAAAGGGCCAAGCGCGAGCTGACATGGCGAGCCGAGTAGCCGCAGGAGACGACGTGATGACGACGAGACAAACCGAATCAGAGAGGGAGAACACACTCCAAGCTGCGTCCCAGCAGCATCCCTTCATGGTCTGTACCATGAACTCTTGTCTGTGGTCCGCTGTGGAAAGCATGAAGGTGGAACCCTAGCCCTCCGTAGCACTTGACGCCAAGTGCAGACAAAGTGTACACAGACGAAACACACAACAAATGAGTTCATAGATACAGCAGGAATATACGATGTGCAGCGCCTCAGCACGAAGGCGTCAGGTTGTCGAGCGGTTCAATCTGCCCCAAACTCGCCGCGTAGGCGCTGATCTGCGTCTGGAGCACGTGCACGAGGGCGCCCTTGAAGCCCTTGACCATTTCGCGGAGCGACGTCATGATGGCGTCGGTGATGTTGCCCACGCGGTAGTAGGGCGAGCCAGGCTTCTTGAACTTGGGGTGCTGCAAAAAGAGCTGCGACTGCATCATGGGCAGCGTCGCCTTTTGGTAAAATTTGAGCCGGCAGCCACCACCGGGCGTCGGCTCGAGGACAAACCTACGCGTGTATGATCGATACGGATGGCAACAGCGACGAGGCGTACCACGCGCTCTTGTTGTTGATGAGCGCCGTCTTGTCGTGTGGCATGAGCTCGTCTTCGAGGATGCTCCTACGCGATCGTGTTTCGTTAGTTGATAAAGTCGACGACAAGCTAGAGGCATACCGGATGAGGAAGATCTCACGCCCGGGCTCCGAGAGGCGGCGCATGAGGAACCGGCACTGGCTCGTCAAGAGGTTGTCGAGCTTCCCGATCGTACAAATGTACTTGGTATCGTCGTCAAATGTCTCGAGGAGCTAGCAAAGGTGCTCTGAGTATCTCCTGCCTCGTAGAAGAGCGTACCGAAAAGCCCGTGTACTCGTACTGGGACGGGTTGGCCATGAGCGCCCACATGCAGCGGGTGACGAACCGGTAGTCGTACGGGAAGTTGTGGCACCAGATCGTCTCCGTGATGAGCTGGTCGTCCAAATACCGCGAGAGCTTGGGGCGCGTCAAGAGCATGTCGGCCTCCGTGTCGACAAGGCCCGACTCGACCATGGCACCGGGGAAGGCCGCGAGCTGCTGCTGGAGGATCTCGTAGACTGCATGGGCGCGCGTCATCGGCTCCTTGACGAGGCGGTACAGCTTCCACTGGTCGCTGTCGAGCGTCGGGAGAGACGAGAGCTTTGGCCGCTTGCGCAGGATGGCTTGCAACGTCTTGCCAAACTCAATTTGCTCTTCGAGCTCCTGCTTGAGCTTTTCGTTTTCGAGCACCGCGTTCTGCTTGTCGATGCGCATCTGGTGGGCAAGCTTTTGCCACGGCGTCTCGCTCTCGGTCTCGATCGCCTTGACCTGCTGGAGTACGCCGAGGTGCTTCTCGAGCTCTTCAACGCGGACGCGGAGGAACTCGAGCTCTTCGCGCTGGCGCTTCCGGCTCTCGTTGATCTTCTTGGGCTTGGCCATGTCGGCCTTGGGCGGCGAATCCGCCTCCGAGCACGAGCTTGGGGTCCCCGACGCGTTCGAGGGCGGCGTCGTCGGCTTCATGGCCTGCGGCAGGAACATGGTGCTGAACTCCTCCATCATGAGCGCGTCGACGTCGGCCAGCGGGTCGTCGATGGGCAGCGTCGCGAACTGGTCGTACATGATCGTGGTCGCCGGTGGCATGGCCGTCGGTGCTGGCAAGGAAAAGCCAAACTGCCACAAACGGGCAAGAGCGGTCGTATCGAGTCTGAGAGGTTTTCCTTCTCCGCACCAAGCGCGACTAGATGCACGCCTCCTTAGCACCACCCACGCCAAATACAACGCTTGCAAGGCGTCCCGTCATCACAGACTCGTGTGCTTACGCGTGCGTTGCGCATCGCAGGAGCTTTGGCGAAGCGCAGCACAAATGCCACGTTGGGAAACGATTGTGGGCTGACTGCATGCTGGAGGGACGAAGATAGTCTCTGGATCGGTGGCGGCTTGATTTGCGTGCAGTTAGACTTTCGAAAAAATGGAATTTGCACCAAGTGGCAGTGAGAGACAGGTGAGCGTTAAGACACGAGTGGGATGTCGAGTCAAAGCGCATGATGCAGTCTGGGTTAGCTTTCCCAATGTAGCAGCATGTACTCGATGCGCTACAGCGGCGTCTATTCGTATACCAAGAAGATAGCGCGGGCGCGAGTCAGTCACAGTACCATCTCTCGTCATTGACGTCCCTTTCCAATGCGAGTAATAACTGCAGCTATACCGGTAACTGCAGTGCCAACCTTGCATCCATTGCACACGGACTGCGTGGGTGCAGGACCGGTAGAGTTTACTATTAATAGTACAATACAGAAGCTATCCAGATACGAGGGCGTGTTGGCTGGGCTTGCTCGTACCACCAGTCGTCAAGCTCGTCGAGTATTTGTACTGTAGCAACAGAAGCGAGTGGCTTGGTGGGCACAGAGACCTCGACAGGATCATAGCAGGTGCAAGTATGCATTTTCAAAGGGTATGCCATTCCAGAGATCGAGCCGCAACCGTGCCTGGTCGGCCGGTGCTGGCTTCCTCCACCACGA